AATTCTTCTTTTAGCGGTTTATTTTAAACAAATCGAAGACGTTTCTCGAATTTTCTAAACTGCTAACCATCCTGTATGTTAACTTCATCACCGTACATTACATTATCTAACTAATATCATATCACTTCACCAAAACAAATACCATATCGATGTTAACCATAGATAAACAGATGAATAGACATTTCACTTATGATTCGTAAGAATCGATATTGACGTCAGTGCATTGAAAACATTAGTAGATAAAACTAATAAATATATCGAACAGATAAAAGAAGAAAATAACGGTAAACTTTAGGAATTTCCACAGAAATATAAATAAATATAAATAAATATAAACAAATAAATATATATTGAAACGTGTAGTAAATCAGCCTCATCAAAACAAAATACTTGGATAACAACTAAAAACTAAATCATAATCATGCACTGGCCATTTCCAATTTAATTATATTAATCAATCATACAGAAAAATTTTGCGAGGTTTTTTTGAGTTGAATTGAATTGAACTCATCGATCTTGAAGAAAAATTTTCAACTCAATTCGATTCAATTTAACGAATTCGCTAAAAAAATTTCCAATTCAATTCATTTCAATTCTTTGGTCATAACTTTCTTTTCCAACTCAATTCAATTAAATTCACCAATTCAGAAAACATTCTCTCAATCCAATTCAACACAATTCATCAACTCTAAAAGCACATGTCCAATTCGATTCATTTCAACTCAGAAATTGAGTTGAATTGAGTTGAATTGAGTTGAGTTGGGCATTTTTTGAATTGAGTTGCCCAGCTCTGGTGGGCATACACAGATCATAACACTACCCTTTCACGGACAAAGGATAATAAAACAAGAGCTTTTTTTTATCTCTAGTATTGATGCATATCTTATGAAAAAATTGGTCTGAACTTAGTGATGACTGGAGTATTTTTCTTCCGTGGAAGAATAAATATCCCTCGACTTTCACAATTCAAAACAGTCTTAGAGTCAATAATTGAACCTTCGAGAAAAAGGCAGACAGCTAGAAAACAAAAAGGATAGAGATGCGGGACTCGATGAAGATCTTGAATATTCAGGCGAAGTTCAGGCATTCTAATGCATGTAGAATCTGTTTTGTTCCTATCCGAATGCAGTGCGTTGAACTTCTCATTAACGTTTTCAAAAATGTCACATAAGATAAGAAAAATATGATTTCGAAAAAATCAGCTTCAAAATGATCTCATGATCTTCTCCTTTGTGATAATTTAAAAAAGACTATTTGTCAAGTTTATAATCTAGCCTATAATCTTCTTTCCAGATTTAATTTTAATTTTGTTTAGAAGAAAACAAGAGAATCTGTGATAAAACAAAGTAGATCAGTTATACGAATCTAGTGTAGAAAAATCGTATTGTCTAATCTGATGAAAATCATTACAAGTCATTAGGTCAAGAGTCAAACTAGTATTTTAAATCTAATGTTGCTTTTTTATATCCAAATCAGAGAAATATAGCTGATCCTAAGACAAAATTTATAATTCGTCTTCTGTGTCAACTAGTGATAAATCTAAATTTCATACAATAAGAGTTTCCGTACCAATTTTTTTCTTCACTTTCAAACTATTTTTCTTTTGTGTCCAAATTAATGCCAAAAACAATACAGTCATAGATAGAGAGTCTCTTATCTTTTAGTAGACAGAAAGGCTGTGCTGCTACCTGATTGCTTTAAGCATGTTCAACTGTCAGACTACTGAATGAATAAAAGATTACACATTAGATGCCATAGATTCATTTGATTCGACATATTTCTTGTATCTCATTGATTTATCTTATTGCTTGCTGCTGTTTGTTATTCTATCTCGAACATTTTCTCCTAAAAATAAGAAAGTAAACTGTCGTGTTGTCAAAATGGACTTGATACCCATCTAATTAGGTTAAGTGCCTAGAATTTTAGAATTGATAACCCTAGTGAACTGTCTTGCGGTATGCGCATGAAATACATGAGCATTTGGAGCAAGAGTGTCATGTGCTGTGGACAAATCTTGATATCTGAACAGGTCAAGCATATGAAAAAATAAGTTTGCCTAGGAAATGATTTTCCTCAATAGTTTAGTGCAGCGTTTCAAGCCATTTTATAAGGCAATGCAGCCTTGACAATGAGTTCTATCAGATTTTCAGGACTAGAGTGAGAATCATAGAGATTAAATATGAATTTCTGGAATGTCATTTGTTATTATAAAAATTCCGAGAATTCATGCGATTCCAGGGATTCCTGAATCCGCCTATTCCCCCTTGTACTATATCGTTGCAACCAGGTTTTCAGGCTGGAGTGGGCTCAACCCGGAAATGTTTTTCAGATCAATTGAAAACTATTTGAATTTCTTCCACCTCATTTTCAGTAGAATAGATGTTGTATGAATGTTGTAGAGATCCAAACAAGCCTACTTTTTTGACCATGGTCTCCTTACCATGGCCCATGAATATTTTTATGCTACTATTTTGATGATATTTGAATGGGGAAAGCAGAATTGCTTGATAAGATAACAAGGAAACTTTACATATGGAAATGACAATACTAGTCAGTGTGTATTCATATATTACACTAGGTATCTGAAGAGAATACATTATCAGAAGACACGATATTTATAGAGAAAACTATTTTTGAATTAAAAAAATGTTTGATGAAATTTGATAGACTAAACAATGAGAACGTATTAAGAACAAATGTTTACTCGCAATATAAGTTTGAAATGGCGAATGCTAAGACTAAGTGTACTACTTACTACAAGTAGCACTTTCCTTTTACTTTCAGAAAAGTAATGAAAGGATAGTTTTTGCTTTCTTTTTTCTAGGAAAGAATCTTTTTAATTTTTCCTACTTTCCTATATTTTCTCTCCGAAAGGAAAGTTGTTGCTTCCTTTTTACTCGGAAGGAGCATCTTTTTTATTTTTTCTACTTTCCAATATTTTCCCTCGGAAAGGGAAGCTATGAAGAATCATGAATGATAAGTTATAAAACCTTTTCCATTTTGTCAAATGCAGCCCTAAACGATATGCAGTAGACATTTTCAAATAGGGGTAAGAAGTTTCTATTATCTTGTTGTTATTAATAACAAAAGAATAACAATAACTATTTCTGTTATTGTTATTTGTAGTAATAAGTTTTTTTCTTATTGTTATAAATAACAATAACTTTTTTCGATAGTTAATTGTTATAGGAGACCTGACCAAGTTCCTTGGAGTCGGCAACTCATTGGGAATTCGGAACTCAAAAATCAATAAGCAAGAACCAGCGATAATAAACTAAAACATCCCAAGGGAACTGAGGGATTCCAGGGACGTCAGGGATCTTAGGGATCTCAGGGTTCCCAGCGAAATCAGAGCTTGGAATAAATTGGCTAGGATTGGACCCTCCGTATATTTGGCATTATGTACATAATGGGGGTAATGGACGTAATGGATATTTGACGCTCACGTTGGGCAGATGCTCAAATGATCTTGGGGGTGTGGGTGTGGGTGTGAGTTCTTTTCTTTCCCCCATAGTATCATCCACACCCACACCCGCCCACGCCCTTTGAAGTGCTTCGGGATACTTTGATGTACTTTTGTACTTTGACTTCTCAAAGTACGATGTTTCCCCCTTGATTATATCTCAAAGACAAGAGGACTGATTTCTGATGGCAAGAGCAAGGACTCATCTGCAAAGTTTCTAAACATGCTGAGGAATGTCGACGGTTCCTTTAGGAAAAAATTGTAAATGCGCATCTCTGGTCTAGAGATAATGAAACAAAATAGTCGCAAGATTTTTCAATCAATGCTTGTCTACTCATTTTAGATACAAAATAGAAAAAGACTAAACGTCTCCCCTTCCGCCTCATTGCCACAGAAGATCTTTGAATTTTAATCTATGGTCAAACGCACAAAATTCTGAGACAACGAAAGGTTTTTGAAAAAGGGTTTATAAGTTTTAAGAATCCAGAAAAGTGCTGATCTCAGCGTTTAAGACGAACTGGATTGAGTGGAGTAGCTTACCGTCACCCTCAGCGAAGATTTTTATTTGTTTCTTCACATATCCAGAGTGTAACAACTTCATACATAATACATGCATATATAGGAGAGAGATAGGAGAGACAGGATATATATATATATATATATATATATTAGAACAATGGAAGGAGAACAGAAATAGAAGAAAGGAGAATCATCGAAGCGTGCCATCAATATCGGCATAATCACGTTTAATACATTGCTTATCCAGGAAGGTCATATATTTGAGGGAAGTTTTACTTACGAAGAAAGGTCGAAAAAGTAATCAACAATGAGATTCAACAATTGACTTCTATTAGTTATGTAACAATAGGGAGATTTTGAAATTTATTCAATCTCAAGTTTACCATATTCACATTTTACAAACCAAAAGACTTTTTCTCAATAATCAGCATAGTAACAGAAGGATTTTGTGGAATTCAAATATTCTATCGAAGAAAATAAGGAATGTCAGTTCTAAGTCTATGTTTTGACGATTCCCGCTGTCGAATGAAGACAAGAGCAACAAAGATCCTCCTTAAAGACTATAGTAACTAAGCAGTTTTACAGTTCTTCAGTATTTGCACTTTTAATAATTATGTGAGCCCTACATTTCCGCCAAAAAGGAACTGTTATAATAAGCTTCCTTGCCAAAATCAGGACGGTGGTTGTGTATGAGATTCAAACGATTCTCAAAGTCAAACTAACATCCTTACCATCAGTAATGAAATCAATTATAAGTTCACTAAAATAAGGATTAACATAGCTTTGATGCATTTCTAATCAAGACTATAAGCGAGTGAAAAACAAACATATATGCACCTTCAATGAATTACAACACGTTACTCTTCAAAAACGAGTTCTTATTTTATTTTATTGACTTAATAAATGTCTCGGGCATCAATAGAATTGTGTTGTTTGTCTTTTTTCCATATATGCCCAACTTGAAACTTGAATTTAATTGAAAATTGAAATTTTCAATTTTCAACTTTTAAACCAATAGTATTCTGATGAATAGTGACACACACATATATTGCGATACGTTGAAAGTTGAAATTTTCTATTTTCAACTGAATTCAAGTTTCAAGTTTGACACTACCATTTTTTTCTGTCAAAGTAAAGAATTGAACCCGAAAAGCAAACCGAGAGCTATTGTCAACAAAGAGACTGAAAAACTATCTGCTGCTTTACTACTGAATGCGTAATGACCATTTTATTTTGTCATTTATTCCCGTTTATCCGAATGTATTCAATAGATTCGGAATTTTTCTCTAGAGAAATATATTCTATTGTTTATCAATCGCAAGTACAGTTTTCAGTAAACAAATTGTCATTTTCAGATTTAACACTTTCGTATCTATAGAGATACACGATGTTTCTTGCTCTGATGATTCCATATATCATTGCTGCTAGCTGTATCGATGCATCACTTGTGGGTATTATTCGCAATGCTTCTCTGGTCTTATCCAATTTTAACATAACAGTAGAGGAGTCGTCATGCCAAACATGTTTGTGTAAAATGTTCAATTCAACTGGAAACGATTCGATTGTCTCATTGAATTGCTATGTTTATAGTAGCAATCGAGTCACTTGCCAAATGTTCACTATGGACATGTATATAAACTCTCCCGCCTTTCACATGATCGGCAATGTGAACAGTACATTCTATTTTCTACAGTTACCATCCATTCAGGAATCGACAAAAATAGTTGAAGCAGCTATATCAAGTAATTATTTTATGTGTATTCTAGGAGTCTATATTTTTACATACTGTATCAAGCTGTTTGTTCTTGATAGCTCATAGATAAGCTATATTATAAATAGCCTATGAAAATAAAAGAAAGTTTATCGATTTCCTTGCAGTGTTGTCTAGGTATTTCCATAAACTTCGATCAAATCATTTAAAAGAATCGTGTTGGCATCTATAGTTTTATTTGAAGAATATTCAAGCAGCACCCAGAACATTTTATCAGAGAATTTTCAATGGATTTATCTAGAACATTGTTGATTGGTTTAATCAACAAGAGATGGGAACATGCGAATGTATTAGCTTTCTACGAAGTCATCGTTCTCCATATTAATAAGATAGTAGTTGTTTTCAAGATTTACGAAACCCCATTGACATACTCAAAAAATCTGAAAGAACCATGAAAATCGAGGAAGTTAGCTAGAATCTGAAAATCTCGTTTTAGAGTCCGAACTATTTATATTCTTTATTAATCGTTAAGAAAATTAAATTTTACTCATATGCTGCAGGCGAGTCTGTTTCACAACAGAAACTGGGAATTCTCTTGCAGTTTATGGATCAGTATTTATACCCTGATATTTAGTGTAAGTGGATTTTGATGAGTCTCGTGATAAGTCGAGTCCTAATTGCTAATAATTTTAACTGAAACAAATATGATTTTTTTTCACTACGATGCTGCCTATTTTATATGAACTAATAACTGTCTGAATCTAATTATTAGGCTCTACAACCGGTGAAGTGATTATTACAACCGACGGAATGATTAGTACAACAGGTGGAGTAGTTAGTACAACCAACAGAATGGTTAGTACTACCGGTGGGATGATTAGTACAACCGGTGGAATGGTTAGTACAACTACTAGCATGACAACAAGCATGGTGTCAGGTAGTGCTATTGCTTTTCAACGTTCAATTACTATTGTAAGTTAGAAAGTGATTAGCAGAAATTTCGATGGCACACATATTTAGCTTCTTGGATAACGGCAAGCACATAAGAAATAGTTCGGCTCGTCATTAGGGATGGTACGTTTCCGTTAATTTAAAATTAACATTAACTAAAACCGTTAATTAACTCGCGTTAAATTAAATGGTCCACCCCTACTTTTCATGCGGATCTAACAATAGCTACGCCATTATAAATGAGCTCTAACATATTAGTTAGCATAAATTTGTAACATGTTGATATCTTATGGAGCGTTGACCATTGTGGGGGTAAAACTGCCTCATTTATAACTCGAGTTATAACTTTTGTGTTATAATCGGTGAACTTTTAGGTTGAAAAGTTAATTCGGTAGTAATATTCAACCGTAGTTATAACATTGTACCCTGTTTATAACATTCAACTCTACTTATAACATTGAATCATGCTTAAATCTAACAACTACTATTATTTCACAGATTTGTTACATTGATTATTCAACAACATCTATGACCAAGTATGAGACGTGACCAAGTTCTCAAAAGTCGGGAACTCTTCGGGAATTGGGAACTCAAAAATAAATAAGCGACCATGAGCGATGCGAAACCAAAACACGTAAAGCACCTCAGGGAAATCAAGGAACTCAGGGAATCCAACGAACTCAAGGAAGCCAGGGACTCCGAAGAACTCTGAGACTCCAAGAAACTCCGGAAATCCAAGGAACTCTGAAGAACTTTGAGATTCCAAGGAACTCAGGGAAGCCAGGGAATCCAAGGAACCCATGATATAGTGCAAGTGTATGTATGAAGGTAGGTAGTAGAAGGCACCCACACCCACACCCTCACAAATTTCTGCTTTCTTCAACGTTTAAAGTTACGAGAGCAAAATAAGGAATCACTCTAACCTACCAGAACTTATCCTTAAGGGAACAGTTGAATTGTGCATATCCCCCCCTTGTCATTCATGTATCTATTAAGTCAATCGATAAACACTGTATCTATTATGTCAATTATCGCCATTATGTATCATGCCGATTAAGTACATAATACCCGAGATACTCATCGTTCAATACAAGCAAATCGATTACAGGCTCTTACTTCACTCTTTTCCTTGGACTCCCTGACTCCCCTAATAACGTTGCTATGCTTTGGTTTATCATCACTTGTTCCAGTTCATTGATGTGACGATTTTAGATAGAAGAGATGCCTGTGTTGATGGTATTACACTTTATTTAACTCTTCAAATCATAAATCGCATCGATTACATATAAAGCACACGCTTAAATACTCAACCATTTGAGAGAACGAAGAAGAAGGATAGATAAAGACAAATGTAAAGGACAGAAAGATAGAGGCAATAGGTGTGATGAGAATAAATGGCACCATAAGACCAAATCTTATGTATAGGTTACACTCGAACGAGAGCATTACACCCCCGGATGGAATTTGGACGCTCTCTGCATTTAATCGTTACAATTGATTTCTGAGTTCCCAATTCCCAACGAATCCCCGACTCCTGGGAACTTAGACACTGCTGTTTACCTTTTGTAAAATGAATTGCATAAAGCCCATCTTTGATCTCGAATCTCTGCAACTCACTTATTACAGTTTTTGTCGTTTACAAATTACTAAAAGAGCCGAGAAAAAATTTTACTTGTATACCTTGAGAATCTCAATAAGCCAGATAAATATTGAAAAATACAGCAATGTACGAACTAAAGCTTTGTGTTTGTTATGTATTCTTTTCTCTCACATTGTTAAACTCAGTTATCAGCGAGACAGCAGCGTGATGCTATGACAGTAGAACGGGACAAAAGGATAATCTCCCTCCGATGGAGTCGAACCAACATCTTCTGCTTTCCGGGCAGCTGTACTACCACTATACTAGAAAGGAGCATATATTATTCGTTTGTTCCGTCTTATGATCGAAGGGAAACACTTCAGTCGTAACAGTTTTGAAAGGTTTAAGATCGTAATTTCTTTTAGAAAAGATAATAAAGTTATTATTATCGACGCAAACAGAGATCGTTCGGAGAAAAATGATTCTTTGTGCTCTCGTATAATTGGATAGTTAGATCTATGCTTAGGTATTCTAGAGCTATGAAGCATAAAATTCTTACCAGCGATTAAATTGGTATCATGCGCAAAACATCGCAACTCAATGATATGTTGATTTTCTGGTTTAGAAATGAACAGTGAACGTATATTTTTCATTGGAGTTGGATTATCTGTGCCGATTGTACGTAATTTTGATGTAATATTAATTTTTTTGGGAACTCAAGCAAAAACAGGTTCTAGCCGATTCACTAAAAGGTCTGCAGTGTGACTATTACTATTAACATCAATAAGAGATAGATCAATAGCATTCCGGTCAAGTGGAAAAACTCATTCGGGCATTTCCAGTCATTCTCAACCATTCCCAATCATTTCCAACCATTTCGAGCCATTTCGAGTCATTCCTAGTCATTCAAATGGCTCGCCCATGTAATCTCGAAACGCATTTTAGACGCAATTAGATGCGTTTATGTTGCAAATCTTGGCGTCCTGATGCGTTTTGGTATCGAGTTATGATAAAAATACAGACAAAGGCGTTTGTAATTATCCTTTTAAACGTGTTTAAAGAACTTCGATGAGTTTGGTAGCGTTAATCAGAAAAAACGTATGCAAACGCGTGTGAACGCAATCTGTGCCTTTTCTTGCGTTAGGTCTTGTACCACAAGTGAAACGCAATTTATTTGCTATCCAATAAACACAGTAAAATCGACGAAGTAGATAAAATGCGTCTCATGGAGGTATAAGTGAACTCATGAAATGCCGAAAACGCTCTTCATTACACACCCTTTCCAAAACACAACTGAATTCATAGTTATATAGTAGGTACTGTCAATGAAGAGTGGTCAGGCATGCAGCGAATCTAATATTTTTGATTTTGAGGTTTTCGTTTTCATTTTCATTGTGAAATACGTCGAAAAAGATTATATTTCCAAACTAAAACCAAAACTTCAAAACTAGTTTTGATTTTGGCTCATGCCTAAGAATGAGAGCTATTGAAATCTGCATTTATACAAAAATAAGCTTGAGTACAACGGAGTTTGCGCTAGTTAAAATGCCACATTGCACTAGGAGCAAAGTCTTTGTGTTATATTTCGTCTTTTGAAACTGTTAATTAGCGGTAAAAAAAAGTCCCTTATTGATTCAGTTAAGTAAGAAAGAAATCTATTTAGTTTTATTGAATACGTATATGATATCCATGATATTTTTTCTTTTGAACTCTAAAATTCGGCCTTCGTTTATATATTGAGGATTGAATCAAATAAGGTTTGGTTTAACAGATTGATTTTATCAAATGAGTATTTCTGTGATAATGCATTTCTATTCGAAAGTTTGTTGAAAATATAAGACTATAAATACAACTGTATGCTTATGTTTCCTTAAATTCGGAAGTACTTTCTGTTGCGCGCACGATAGATCATTATCTTGATATTATCGTTAGAATTTTCATCACCACTGTCGTAAATTACTAAGTAAATTAGATGCATATTCTGTTTTTACTTTCAATTGCTTTTAAAATAAAAACTGCACAAAAATGTTCTTTGATACAGGGTTTAGCATATAATGGGTGTAATGATCTCTGGTGTTATGGATATTGTTATGTTTGGTGTTGAGTGTATATTTTATTTCAATATCAAAAATCGTACCTTCCTGTATTTCTCTCGTTCCTTATATACTATTTTCTAGCATTTAAAGACCTTGAGAAATACCGTAAATACAATAAAACAAGAAAGTGTATAAGATAAGGCGTACGTATTGATGCTATGTTAATGTACTGATGATGGGATAAATATTACAACGGTGATTTTGCGTACTCCATCTGGTACTAAGCGCGAGCCAAGGACAAAATCCCTCGTACTCTTGCGTAGTGAGAAAGAGAACTAGATAAGAGTATGGATGAGAAACTAACAAGATGGTGCCCTTGAGGTTTATTTCATTCGAGGGTTTGTAACTTCTAGAATAGATCGTTACACCCCGGGATGGAATTTGGACGCTCTCCGCATATAACGTTACACAGACTGACTGATGAGAGAACCTTTCCAGATGCTACGTCTTTTTTTGAGTGAAGACTATTTTTATTCGTTAGGTTCAATTGGTTTATAAAAACATTTGAAAGAATTTATCCACGCAAGTAGTTACCAGAAATCCTAATTGCAGAATTTCCGTCAGCATGATTTTTCAGTAAATAAGTTTTAGCGTCAAGGCGGAACTCTTTCTCAGTATCGCATTTACAAAGAAACTCCATTATTAATGTTATATAAACTTAATCTTGGAAATGATGAGAGTCATTTCAGTTTGTCAAACCTAGAAAAAAGTATTTGCTTTCACGCAAAGAGTTGGACATGGAATCTGTTTTTCTAGTCTTTTTCGGTGAGCTATAATTTGGCTCATACAACTCGGAATGTATTGATGTTTGTCTCAAACTATAGCTAATATGTAGATCCTTGATTTCTGGAGAGATCCTTCAAATAAAAGCTGTCATAATCAAGTGGAGCAATATGGTTGAATAACGAGTTAGGAACCTAGATTTTTCACTTTTTGAATCTCTACCTAAAACTTTGCCTCCATGATTCGAACTACAAACTATTCTAATCAAAGTCTTCGCTTAGACAAAGATTTAGATTGAAATGCGAACATATAATTTTGTTGAAAATCTTGCGTCCTACAGGAAAAATTTACGAAAAAAATTGATCCATGTGTTAAATCTAATTACGGACACCAATTATTTGGATATGAATCTAATGTAGTGACCGCTATCTAATTATTATGTTATTATGTTTAGGTACTGCCACCACGCAGCCGCCGACCACTATCAGTGAGTAGACTTTGAGTAGCAAAACAATATTTTTTCGGTTTTTCATATTTCAGCGATCACATCCAATGGCTGCGCATCTAACTGGACAGCCGCCAGTATCCTCTATCATTGCGATAATTGTACTAATGTAATTCCGTACGCCCAA